ATAGATTTTCTAATAATAAGTTTGTACTATTTCTTTTAATGATTACATGTTAATATGCAACCGCAAATGTTGTAAACATTAAGGTTATAAGTCATACCAATTTTAATTTTTGACAATTCTGGTATGGTGAATAAGTAAGAGAGATTTTTTTTGGATATTATACAAAGAGGCAAAATTATTCAAAATTTCCTCTCAATTTCTCTTCTTTATCTTATTTGGTTGCTACCTTGGCAACGTTGCGAAAATTTAGATAACCAAATAAAATGTCATATTTTTTTCCTTACTGTACAATTTTTGTAATATATCTGGATTTAACTCAATTTTCTAAACAGAAAATAGCGCCACCAAAATTGGTATTTTAAGTTAATATTCTTTTAGTGAATTCAGAAAATGCATATAATTAAACTACATTCGTCTAAGATACTACGGGTAGCAACATTTTTAATTTCTATACAAAATGTTATTTGTTTCATTGATCCAGTGTCAATGGGAGTTGGAATAATTAACTTGTTCCCATCAATTTACAATGGGTTAGTAGATAATACATATTGTAGATATTCCGAATGCTGCAATCAGAGAGGAATCCCAGCTAATATAAAAGGTTGATGTGTTTATTAAATAAATTCATTACAATAGCAACTTTTTTCACATTATTAGAGCTAAAAACGCGATTGAGCAATAATTTGTATGGACAGCATATAGTGTTACAACATCTAATACCTGCTTTGCAAGCGCATTTCAGCCCAGAAAACAACTCACGAAAACCTCTTGTTTTAAGCTTTCATGGAACCCCAGGCACCGGGAAAAACTTTGTAGCTGATCAAATTGCCGAAGCATTATACGAAAAAGGAGTAAAAAGCAGATTTGTTCATAAATATTTGGGTAGAGCCGATTTTCCACTAGAAGCCAATTCTCATATTTACAAAGTAAGTCATTTAATGTAATGTTTTTATAAAAAAAATAACTTTTTTGCCCATTAAAGGAAAGAATTAATCAAGAAGTGCGGAAAGCGATTGCTGATTGCCCTAGAACATTATTTATATTTGATGAAGTTGATAAAATGCCTGAAGGAGTTTTTGAGTCATTAACGTCTCTTGTAGATTACCATACGTTAATAGACAAACAAGATAGTACAAAAGCAATATTTATTTTTTTATCCAACACGGCTGGTGTTTTAATATCTGACCGTTTAGGAAATGTTATAAATTCCGGAACTCTGCGAGATGACACTAGAATTGGACATTTTGAACAAATATTAGAAAAAGCTGCTTACAATTTAGATGGTGGCATGAAAAAAACTAGTTTAATAGAAGCTCATGTGATCGATCATTATTTACCTTTCCTGCCATTGGAAAAGCGGCATATTGTTAAGTGTGTAGAAACAGAATTTAAAAAATGGGGTTCTAAACCTAAGGAAAATGTAGTGGAGTATGTTATTTTACAATCAATTTTATGTCGAATAAAAAAAATTCTCTTTCAGTTCAATAATTAATGATGCTGTTACATATGATCGAACTCATGGGTTGTTCGCGACGTCAGGCTGCAAGACGTTAGATAAAAAAGTTGCTGTTGAAGTTATGCATCCCATTTATTAATTAAATAGTTTGTTAGTATATTTGATTTTATAATAAACATATTTTTACTCTTATAAAGAGCTATTTTATTCACCATGGGTTAAGCCATTTAAGTCTTGCATCCTTTTTTAGCAGGTCTGTATCTAAACGTTTTGGATCGCAATCATACTTATTTGACGCTTGCAAACGTTCTTGTATTGGACCAATGTCTTTAGTTACTATACATTCACCATTTTCCTTTAAATATGTGTGTTTAGTGTCATCTTCAGTAGGTTCGCCATAAGGAAAAGTAATTGGTGTGACTTTAATAAGATGCTTAATTTTCCAAAGCCTGGCGTTGTTATCAGGTATATTTTTAACTACAGTAAAATCACTTTCTTTTTGGTCCAATCCAAGATCTCTTAGTATTTTTTTTTCCCAATAAGGGTTTCCTTTTACTGGTTTTATTCGTTGTACTCGAAATAATTTTGAGGGTTCAACAGGCGGGTCTTCATCCTCAGGAGTCCTTTTAAGTCAATTAATGAATTAAAATAACTTATATTGTCAAAAAAACTCACCTGGGGTAATATATGATCTTTTCATATTTTTTACCATCTTTGAACAAATATTTCTTGTTATGCTTTCCGTACGCACGGCTCGATTGAACTGTTAAACGAAAATATTGTAGAAAGTTCGACATCGTTAATCCTTTCAATAACTTTGAAGAAAATTAAATCTGGGTGCAATAGGTTATGAAATTAATAAAACAGCTGTTTATACCTACACTCTTGGAAATAACAGAGCTACCATATTTTCTTTCGCACGAAACATTTTTGTATACTTCGATACACATTAACCAGAGAATATCTTTAATGGAATGGACACTCTGTTCACTTTGATCAAAAATAATAGAAATTTTCTTAAAATTCAATTTTTATAACATTTTTGTCACACGTTTTAAGCAGGATATAGACGATGCTACATGTTTGCAGACAAGGATACGTGCTACCAAATCGCACCGTCTATATGCAAGTTAGTATATCAAATTTCAGTGTGGGACATGTATGCGGTAAAATTAAAACTTTTCAATTATTTGTTAAATCTGCACACATGTCTCCTTGTGTATATCGTCGAGCAAAGATTGTGGAACAATATTGTAAAATAATTGAAAAAATTGAAAAATTTGAAAAAAAGTACTACAAACAAATATTAAAGAAGTTTGTATATTTTAAAAATTATTTTGTGCTAAAAACATTTTTTAAGTAATTTTTTCTATTTTAAAAATTATATTGTGAATAAAAATATTAAAATATTACATTTTAAAGAATTAAATTAAAAATAATTTTAGTTTTAAGAATTAAAATAAGAAATCGTGTTTAATTCTAAGAGAAATATAAAATCTTTATATAATGAAATAATGAAATAAACAACGTGTGGCTACTCGTATTATCATCATCTCAATTCCTTCAGTTTCGATTACTATTTTGCACTCTGTAAGCGGAGCACCGCTGTTGTTCTGAAGGCGTAAAAAATAAATCAAAATGAAGCATGCATACCTTGTTCCAAAGTGTATTGCAAAGCGCATACTTGAACTTCATACTTGGTGTGCAGATATGTAGCATCATCTATATCATGCTTTAAGTAAGTGTGATTACACCATACTTATGTCACTTTTACGCTTTTTCAAGGCTGATGTAAAAATTTTTTTTTTTACTATTTACTGTACAAGTTTTTATTTAAGCAGATATATAAATAGGCCATGATGGCAAATTGAGGGAAATCGTAAATTCTGTGGGTATGGCAACGAATGTTGGTACTTACCAGAATTTCAAGTATGGTAAGTTAGATAAAAATTAGGTACATTAGGTATTACCATTGTGAAAATTTTTTAAGATGTTTAATAAATAAATTTGAAAACTTTTAACCAAAAATAATAAATATGTGCACCTTTTAGTAAGGTACCTTTTAGTAATATAAAAAACTTGAGCGTTCCTTATTTGGTTGATAATTGCTACGTTTATGCGAATCTTAAATTCACTTTTAAAACCGATTTTAAAATTTGTTCTTAGAGCGTTTACGCACAAGAATTAAAAACACTTTTAAGGTAGCTGTCAATCAATGAGTTGTTAAACGGTAAACAAAAATGTTGATTATTAACATTTAAAAAATGGATAAAGTACAGAATTTTTTGCTCAACCTTTTGCTTCGCTTCAGGCAGCATCGCATTGCATTCACAGTCGATGTGGAGAAAATGTTTAGGTAAGTCAAAGTCGACGACAGGCACAGGCAATGACAACAGATACTCTGGCGGGATTTATCCAATCAACGCATTCGCACATATCAATTAGCTACCGTTACATATGGCACAACCAGTGGCACATATTTGGCTGTTCGCGCTGTACAGCAATGTGGCAGAGACTATTGTCATATACTCCCAGATGAAGTACTAGCTAAAACTGCTTTGCACAGCATCCTGAATAATTTCTAAGTGGATGACTACCTTAAGAGTATACCTTCCATTGGCATGGCGATTCAACTGACGACCGATGTCTCATCTGTGTTGGCAGAAGGACAGTTCTATCTCAGGACATGAAAATCAAATAGAATTGAAGTCTTGGCACACCTTCTTGATGATGCTGATCCGAAGGCAGCTGTTGCAACTGGAGGCAGTGCGAATACCGCGTTGGATAGGCATGCAACCCGGAGATGAAATACAACTTCACGACTTTTGCGATGCTAGTATCAAAGCGATGGCTGCAGTACTTTATTTGGCAGCAAACCACGATGGCAATACTACCAATCACATCAACTGTGCACCAACAGAGCTGGTAATAATGGAACGCGAGTTAAAACCACTTAAAACCACTTGCAGGCAATAGGTCAACTCGCACTAGAGACACACTACACTTCTGGCGATGAATTGGTCGTCATAGATCTCTTGGATCGGTTCAGTTATCTTGACAAGCTATTGCGCACTACTGCATACATATTGCGTTGCAAAAAGGCACATCACATCAGCGTATTCGCTCACATACACACATCTGTACAGGCGAAATGGACATTGCTTTAAATCACCACATCAAGGAAGAGCAAGCGAAATATTTGGCAGCGGAACTCACGCAGCTGCAAAAGCCGCAGCCCATATCCCCATAAAGCAAGCTCATTGAACTGAGCCCGTTCATCAGCCCGGCTGTGAACAATATATCGCGAGCAGGCGGACGCCTACATAATGGGAGGATGACAGAGGTAAAGCATCATCCAATCATTCTTCTTAAGGATAGCACATTGGATAGGCTTTTAATATGGCAGGTGCATCAAGACACACTTCATGGTGGTATACAGCTTATGCTACATACTATTCGACACAAATATTGGATTCTGCAGGCACGCATTTTGGTCAAGCGATGCATATAATCATACGCGATTTACAGGCGTTATAAACACATAATGCTAAAACGACGTATGGCGATATCACCAAAGGCTCGGGTCACCCCATCTCCCCCATTTGCTAGATCTGGTGTAGACTATTGCGGTCTATTCAACACGCGAATTAGCTCCAAGGCTGTACGAACGTTACGGAAGGCTTACGTGGCAATCTTTGTGTGCATGATAACCAAGGCAGTTTATATCGAACTGGCTGAAGATCTCGCTTCTGAGGCATTCATAAATGCATACACCCGTTTCGTAAACCGGCGTGGTCCATGTAACCATTTATACAGTGACAATGGCACTACATTTATTGGCGCAGATTGCTTAATGGCCGCTGACTTACAGGCTTGGCATAATAAATATTCTCAACAGCAATTGTCAAATTGAGGCGCAAAATGGTGTTTTTTACCACCTGGCGCACCACATCAAGGCGGTTTATGGGAAGCTGCCGTTAAATCAACAAAGAAACACTTACTACACATTGTTGGCACTCATTCAATTTACTATGATCACCTACATACTCTACTTGTGCACGTCGAGGCTTGCTTAAACTCATGTCCGCTCATACCTTTGCACGACACTTGTGACGACAAAATACCAGATGAACCTATTGGCAAAGTACTTAGCAACAAATTGTCATACTGGCGCCAATTAATACAAATGCAGCAGCATTTTTGGCGACAATTTTTTTTTTTTTTGTTTTTTATTAACGATTCTACAAATAAGACAAAAATCATTTTAATATTGCACCTAGTACTAATAACAAAAAAAAAAGGTACTAAAAAGCAATTTGATTTGAATATTTAAGGGTAAAAACAAATGAAACTATTTTGCTACTCGCTGTCCATTAAGTCTGCCACTGTTTTCCTTTTTAGCCGTCTAGGTACTGCAACCACCTGGAGAACTGAACTGGATGCTGTAACGTTGACATGTGTTTTCAATCGCTGTTTGTGAGCAATGGCACACCTTTTTGCCACGACGTCGACTGTTGGTATGTCAAGGTCACGGTGGAGACCACTGTTTCTAATGTAATATGGAGCATTTACGATGTATCGCAGTACTTTATTTTGAAAGCGCTGGATAGTTGAAATGTATTTCTTGCTGGCACAACCCCAGAATTGTATGCCATAACTCCAAGCCGGTTTCAGTATTTGTTTATAGACCATTAGTTTGTTGTGGATTGCCAGTTTAGAGCGCCTGCCAATGAGGTGGTAAAATTTGTTTAGTTTTAGGTCAAGCTCTTCTCGTTTTTTCTTAACATGCGCTTTCCAGCGCAGCTTAGCGTCGAGCGTAATGCCCAGATATTTGGCTTCGTTGGCGTGTGGAATTTTTGTGGCATCGATATGAATTGGAATATGGTTATAATTTCTCAATGAGAAGACTATATGTACAGATTTTTCCTTATTTAGCTTGATTCTCCATTTTTTTGCCCATGAAGCAATTTGATTGACTGTGTGTTGCAAATTAGCCGTCGCTTCTTCTATATTGTTTTCGATTGCTAGAACCGCAGTATCGTCTGCAAATGTTGCTGTAACTAGTTGGTTTGCAAAGGGTAAGTCCTGTGTATACAGGAGATATAGAATGGGCCCAAGAATGCTCCCCTGCGGGACGCCTGCGCTAATCTTCTTTAGTGCTGAATGTGCATCTTCATATTTAACACTGAAGTACCTGTCGTTTAGATACGATGATAGCAGCTTACAGTATTGTATAGGCAATAATGATTTAAGTTTATGGAGTAATCCTTCATGCCAAACCTTATCGAAGGCTTGTGATACATCTAAGAACACGGCACAACACACTTTCTTCTCTTGCATCGCCGATTCAATGGCATTTACGACTACATGTATTTGGTCGATGGTTGAGTGGTTTTTTCTGAAGCCGAATTGATGATCCGGAATTAAGCGTCTTCTCTCGATTATTGGTAATAAACGCGCTAGTAGTAGTTTTTCAAAAAGCTTCGATAAGGTTGGCAATAGAGATATTGGCCTATATGAGGATACGTTATTGGGAGATTTCCCCGGTTTGGGTATCATAATTACCTCAGGGAATTTCCAAAAAATGGGTACATGTTTCAAACGGAGGCACGAATTGATTAAATCGCATAGGTAGATGATGCAGTTATTGGGTAAGTTCCGAAGAACTTCAGCCGTTATTAAGTCAAAACCAGGAGATTTTTTGAGTTTCATTTTTAAGATTTGTTTACTCACTTTTTCCGTAGTGACTACAACAATTGCAGTGTCGCCTTAAGGCCAATTTGTACATGACCCAATAACGTCTTGGCCTTCATTTGGACTGAAGGTTTTCTCTAGGTGTTCAGCAAACAGGTTCGCCTTTTGAGTATTTGTTTTAGCCCACTGAGTTTCGTTTATTTTCACTGGGGCAGACTGCTGCATTGGTCTATTAAATGATTTAGCAGCTTTCCACAGAGAGTATTCATTATTTTTATCTGCTTGTGCAAATGTACAAGCTGAAGCTGAAAATATTTCCAGTCAGTAAATGTATTTGCTAACTTGGGTATGTTCTGGTTTATTGTTGGATTTTGTGAAACTATCAGCAGCACTGGTGAGTGGTCAGAGCTAAAGTCGAAGCCTTCTGAGATGGTTAGGTGAGATGCTGGAATGTTTTTGTAGACAAAGAAGTCGATTAGGTCTGGAACTTTGCTAGTATCCGACGGCCAGTATGTTGGTTTACCAGTTGAAATTGAATTGCAAGCTGTGAGATGCATGGCTTTGTACATTTCTCTTCCTTTCGTTGTAGTAAGTCTTGAGCCCCAAAACGTATTTTTTGCGTTGAAGTCTCCTCCAATTATAAAACGTTTAAAACCGGTCAAACCGGTTAAAAAGAGATAAGTAGTCTGCGCACTTCAACTGCTGCCTGGGAGGACTATATAATGCAGTTACGACCAGCGGCTGATTAAAGGTTTTCACGGAAACAGAAGTAGCTTGAAATTCAATTGTGCTATATTGTTCTAGTAAGTGATGTTTTATCGAGTTTCTAATTATGACAGCGCTGCCACCCCTAGCGCAATTATCGGGATGTATGGTATGGTATAGAATATAGTTTTTAAACGTTATGTGCGATTGCGTAGTACAATGAGTTTCAGCGATTAAACCGATATCAATGTTTTAGCTATTTAATACGACTTCGAGTTCATTTTTATGTTTTGTTAAGCTATTCGCATTCCATAAGAATAGTTTCAAACGATTAGTCATAATCTAAAAATTGCATATTGTGCTCAAGCACGCTCAGACGTTGTTCGAGGGTTTTAAATACCTCTTCTTGTAGATTAAGTTTTGTTAAGATAATTGACAACGCGTTGTTGCTTTGTGATTCAGTACTTTGAATGGGTCCCTTTACAGTTTGGGCGTAAGTGACTGTTCTAACACTAGTAGGTCCAGTAATTTTGGATTTACTTTTTGTTACAGCAATTTGATTATTTTCGTCAGCCTTAGTTTTGTCAGCTTTGTTTTTTAAATTTATTTTTTGTAATTCTTTAGCGACTATACAACCACGATAGTTCGCTGGATGCGGTTCGCCACAGTTGCAGCATTTAGGCTTATCGGACAGTGTCTTTTGGCACTCCGAAGTTAAATGTTTACCAGCGCATTTAACACATCGTGGAGGTTTTCCACAGAAATTTTTTGTGTGACCGAACGATTGACATTTTTTGCATTGAGGAATTAAGTTTGACGGTTTGATGGGTTCAATCTTTACAATTGTGTTAAGAATACTTTTTATCTCATAGATTTTCTTCATATCTTCGATTGAGTCAAATGACAAAAGGAACATATCAAGCGATTCTTTAGTTTTCCATTTGAGTTTGTTTATCGCACCGATTGCTTTTAAACCTTGGTTGTTTAAGTAATTTATAATCGATTCTTGATCACACGAATGGTGAAGATTTTTTAGTATAACTTTTATTGGCCTAGTTTGCTTGTCTTCGTAGCTGAACCAGGAAATATTTTTGTGAGTTAAGAGTTTTGTAACAGATCTATAGTCAAAAGAGTCAAAAATAGATACTCTGTATGAACCATTATTTATAAGTCTCACAAAAAACTTGTTTTTTATAGTTGCAATAAGTTGGGTATGCAATTTTTTAAAATCATTTATGCCATTGATAACAATAGGAAGAGGTCGAGCAATTTTATTAGGGACAGCTTGTCCTTTTTGGCAAGTACTTGTTTCAACACTAGGTCTACTTTGACTAGCTACTTCTGGAGAGGATTCGGCCTTACGATTTTTATTTGGTCTTTTCTTTTTTAAGATCCAGTCTGTCTCTCTAGCAAGTTCCTCCTCATCGGTTTCATATTTTGCAATGTTATGAATTGTTTCTGGTACGTTTTTAAAAGATTTTAATTTTTTGTTTTCACTTCTCAGTGCAGTTAACTCATTGGATAATAATAAATATAAATTTTCAAGCTTTTTAATTTTATTCTGAAGTTCTGTATTTTCCTTTTCAAGTTTGATGATTTTTTCTTTATTTCCACCACCGGGAGGTGGGGTATTAGCATCAGTCATATTAATTTTAGATTAATACTATTTTTAGCGCGTATATTTATACTAATAATATAAATTTAAATTTTTACCTTAAAATTTATAAATAAATATTTTTAGCGTCCTTTCGCGTATTTATTTATTTAGCATTTGTTAGTTATTTAGCTATATTAATTACACAATTTCTTTAGTTTTTATAGATTTGTTTACAACACCTTTCTTGTGATTTAATTTAAGCTTAAAAGCTTTATTTGCTGTCTCTATCAGCTGTTTTTAAATGTGTGCGAATTTGTGGCAAAATTAACCACTTCAAAAACAAAGTAATTCCGCACAACCAAAAATCCGCTTTTTTACATAAAAACAATATAAATATGTTAATATTTTATTTTGTCGGGCACTATAATTTTATAAATTTCTTAAAGAGTCACTGTCTCGGTTTTTTTTTTGTGATAAATTTAAATTAATTTTTACGTTTTACACTTAGAAAAAACATTAAAGTACGCAGTGATATTTTTTGCGCGCGCACCTCAAGTCATAATTATCTTAGTACTCTTACTCTTAGTACTTGGCGACAATGGCACGAAGAATATCTTTCAACTTTGCATCCACGTTCCAAATGGCATCAGAATGGTGACCACATCAACGTAGGCGATGTCGTGGTTATCCGGCACGAGAATCTACCAGCAACACATTGGCGGCTTGGCAGGATGATCAAACTTCACTCAGACGAAGACGAGTTGGTACGAGTAGTCACAAGCAAGCATACAGCTGGTGAACACATGCGACCTATCCAGAAGATATGCAGACTTGTGGAGCATCCTGAACGTACGCATGTGAACACAGAACGAACGAAATATATATGTAAGCACTAAAACTATTTAATAATAATAATA